TTTTCTGCTCTGGGTTGGTTTTGATAGTACTTCATGTGTAAAATAAGATAGTGCACTTAAACTTCACAGGAAAAAGTTTTAAAATGTAATTGCCATAGCAAGAGGAAGTTTCAAATTAAGTAGTTAGTCTTCAAACAAAAATGTTAATTGGGAGAGGGATCTGGATGTTTGACTTAGTAGTGTGATGTTTAACCACTCTAGGAGGAGTTGTGTTGCAATTCTTAACATTGCATAAATTTGTATGACTTAATATTTCATAAATTTACTAAAATATTTTCATTTCCTCTAGGGAGTTTAGCTGCATTTGCCATTCTTTTTTTTTTTTTTTTCTTTAAATATACTTAAGATACACTGTATATTCATTTACTGGGCTTTAGGCATAAACTGTAGTTGAACTTGATTCTCAGGGGTAATCTCTTAAAATGAAACTGTAGTAAACCTGGCTCCATTTTGCATTAAGAGGGAGAGATGGTATCTTGTGATGGGGTTAAGTCTTCCACTGTTACAGTGTTTCTAGCAGGCCAGTGGCACAGTGGAGTAAAATATACCCCCTCGTGAGACTTGGTAGAGCAAGCAAAATCAAATCAAACAACTCTTTAAGAAAAAGCCTTGTTTGTTAAAAGTTTTTCCAGAGACTGACAGATCTTATTATCTTCCTTCATACTGACTGGGATGTCAGTGCGTCGAGAGCAAGCAAAATTTACTTTTCAGTGGAAGTAAGTGTTGTTTTGAGGGCAGTTGAACTCATGACTTCATTTATGAGATCTGAACTGTTGATTGCCTGTCTCAGATTTTAAAATGTTCCTTAAAGGACCTGTTTTTATTGATGTTTTGTAAGAGAACCAAATGTTAAGGCTCATGTAGAAGTGACATTATTTTTTAAATAACAAAATGGAGTGTTATCACTCATCTAGTGTTTTTACACTAGCTAGTTTTGTACAGCAGATTGCCATGTTTGGCTTTGAATATAAAAGTAGCAGAGAAATCTATAACACGTGTGTTATGGCAGCATATTTAATTCTCTGCCAGGGGGCCTACCTATTTGTAATTGAAATGTGTATTGTTTCAGAAAAACTTCTTTTTTATGACTGTGCTTTGGTAACGTTTTTTGTTGTTTAATAGAATTTTACTACAGGTGACAGTGACTATGCCTTTTACGGGTTTAATGCCATATTAACAAGACTTGTATCAGGAAGAAGCAACTCACCAGCATTTTAGACATTAAATAATTCCAAGCAGTTTGTAAGTACTTCAGTACTTAAAATAATGGTTGGACAGTAGAGGTAGTCCTTTAATTTGTCTTACAGATGTAAGCACAACAAAACAAGCATGTCCATAGCAGTGTGTAGCGTAAGGCTGGGACTACTTGTGTCGTTGGGCTGCCTTAGCATTAATTTTTTTCCCCTCTTGTATTACTGACCATTTCTGTAATACTGCTTGAGGTGATGGTGCTAGAATGTTGTTTCAGTGGAGTAATTCTCTTTTCCAAACGTAGACTTAGATCCTGCAACTTTTCATCTGAGTGAGCAAAGAGTTGATGCCCTTTTGGAGGGGTTTCAGGCAATAGGAAAGCCAAGAAAAATGTCTCAATTGCTGTCAAATCTGTCAACTTTCCTACTATATTTTCATCAGATGTCCTGTTTTATGGAGATATCTATCTATACAGCACTGTAGCATGAGCAGAAACTTTGGAAATCCGGCAATGCCAATGTCTGTGGCTTTCTGCTATTTCCACAGGAGCTCTTGCCATCTCATGGCTACTACTTCATCATGATTTTGCTTGCTTTTAGGTGTGAAAGGCATGTGTAGTTGTTGCTGACTGAATG